CTAGTAGTTTCAGATCCTTGTTTAACTTGCCGTACAGCAAGGTCATCCACTACTTTAGCACTGCACTTAGAATCTTTAAACTTACTTCTGAGCATGATGAGTACATACAAGCACGAGCACAATACACAAACTATCTTGTGGCAAGAGGTTATAGCAATATCTTAATTAACCAGGCCTTTGATAAAGTGGAAACCAAGAGCAGGCTCTCCTACTATCAACAACAGAGACATAAGGAGGATGACAGTAGCAAAGGGAGACTCATTCCCCTTGTAACAGATTTCAACCCAGGTCTCCCCAACATAGGACGGATACTTAACTCCCACAAGCACATCCGTCATCTAGATCTCGAGCTTTGCAAGGTGATTGACCCTGATGGTATTTTCACCTCTTTCAGAGGGACAAAAACACTTCATGAAATTCTTATTCATAGCAAACTCCCTCCTGTTGAAGAGCCAGCTGTAGAAGATCCAGGCCACGCCTCTCCAGACGCAGCTGAGGATTCTGATTCTGGAGGTTGCTTCCCTTGTGCTAAGAAATGTGATCTCTGCAAAAACTTCCTGAAACCATCAACCAAGTATTCAGTATCAAAGGACGATTGGCCTGTGGTACCGAAAATGTTGTGTACATAGTTAATGATAATATTTGTAAGTTAAGTTATATAGGATGTACTTCAGACTCTCTAAAGGTTAGATTTAGGAACCATAAATCCCACATTAAAACTCAAAGAAGGACTTGTGAACTTTCCTGCCATTTTATAGATAATGAGATTTTGCACAATCTTGTCCGTACCACCACTAAGTTGTTTACCAGTACTTTAAGTAAGGACATTAACTTTTCTATTATAGAGCAAGTTGACGTTGGGAATTTTGAGTATATGTAAACAAAGGGAGGACTTTTGGCAAAACCAGCTTAAAACTTTAAAGCACTTTTGGAGGGATGAATGTTAGAGAAGAAAGATGATTTTTTTCTTGCATATTTTATTTTCTCACCTCTACCACTCATTTGGGATTTCCACCCACCATAATTTGAATTGCTCAGTTACATAAATTTCTAAATTTCTTTTATTTGATTGATTGATGGATTGATATTTTGAATAAATTTACTAACATGTCTTTATATCAGGATGACTGTAAAGGTACATTTTACCGACATTTGAAGTCAAGGCGTTGTTTTACTGATAGGTGTGGCTGACTAATAATATATATATATCGTATATATATATAATTCGAACAATTGAAACAAATCAAATTGGCGGGCAAACGATCCGTTTCATGATATGTATAAAAACAATACCAATCATCAGTGCACTAACAATTGGTATTGTTTTTATACATATCATGAAACGGATCGTTTGCCTGCCAATTTGATTTGTTTCAATTGTTCCAATTATAATGCTCCTGCTTAACTGCAGTCGAGCACTCTCTTTGGGAAACCAAACAACAACTATTTATTATATATATATATATATTTCATGGCTGGACTTCTACACAATAAAAGAAAGCGGTTGTGATATATATATACATAATACATATTATATATCAGTTCTGATTTTGTACCTGAAGCAACGATAAATGCAGGAGTGAGAATGATGAATTGCATCAACGAGATCGTATAGCCTCTGAACATGGTTACTTTGTTGTTGACATAAATCTGTTAATAAAGAATTAATTCGAAGGACGATCGCCTTTTTATTTTTGTTACAAACTAGATAACCAGGCAACCAACCAAACGTGGAACTAAATCGTGTTTTTTTTACTATGATTTATAAATACAACATCAATTATATAATTATATAATTATATAATTAATTATATAATTATAGATGTATTGAGTCTTCGAAATTTACTATAGAACTAGAAGTATCCCAAAATCCCAGTCTAAAATATCAGACTGTTCACATTCACACTTTTTCTCGCATAACTCACATTGGCCATTGTATTGACATGGCTAACAGCTTCGGTTGCGAAACATACCTGTCGATCAACCTACGGCCACAGCAGACTAGGAGACTTGCGCAACTCAGAACAAGCTCGCATCAATACAACATCGAAACTGGAAGACACGGCATGCATCGACATAAACTTTCGAATAGGGCATGCAAACACTGTTCTACTACAGATGTGGAGTCACTCGATCTTCTTCTAGAGCTTCCTTTCCCTGATCCAATCATCGAAGATGAACTTCATGTATTGCGTACTTGCCCTCTCTATGAAGATCTCCGCCACTGTTTGTCCCAACAAAGTAAAACATTACTCTTCTCTGACATTGGACAGATCTTCGCACACCCTACAACCATCGGAGACCTAGGAAGGTTCCTTACCAAAGCTCATGAACGAAGATTCCCTAAAGCGTCCTCCAAACAAATTCCTAACATTAACAATATTGCCAAATTATAATCTATGACTCGGAACACTTTCAGATAAGTTCATTTAAATTATTAAGTATTTTGAATCTCACTCTTAAGATTTACGGGGTTCATTGTATATATATATACTTTATGACTTTTGGGTAAATTTAATTTTTTATATCTGGTCAGACGTTACCATTGTAAATGTAATTTGACTTTTGAATCGTTTAATCCGTTTAATCCGTTTAATTGTGTTGTTGGTTAATCTGAATAATACTAGCATTAAACGGATTAAACGGATTAAACGGATTAAACGTTAATTGGTCAAGAGAAGCCCTAACACTCCTGGCTTGACAATACAAGAATGAAATCATAACCTAGAAATCAGATACGAAAACCGTGAAAAAACAAATATCATAATTTAAGCTAAGTCTCTCGGGAAACGAAGTGAATCTATATTAACTAAAAATTTAGCAATCTCTTTTAAAAGCTTTGGTTGAGTGAATATGAGATCCATTCCCTCGAAGAGGTTGGTTTTAGCTTCAGGGCTAAGGCGGTCCCTGTTGTCTTGGTAGAGGGGGCAGGTTCTAAGCACATGAACCTCATCTTCAATTATGGGATCAAAGAAGGGTAACTCTGCCATGTACTCCAGAGTGTTCTTGTCCTTAGTGGAACATGTAGGACAGATACGATTTAGGATGTTGTTTCTTCTGTCTTGTCCATGGCGTCCCGTTTCAATATTTAGGCGGTGAGAGCTAGTCCTTATTTGGGCTAGTCTTTTTGACTGGTTATATGGAAGATAGAGAGAGAGGTATTTTTCACAACCAAAACTTGATTTAATCGAATTGTAAAATCCAAGTTTTCTGTTGAGCTGTCTCTCTTCATCCCATTGCGTTCTAAAGCAAGAACGGAGAACATCTCGTTTCTGAATGGGTGATAGTTGCCTTTCGTTCGTTTCTGCCAGAAATTGATTCATCGACGTAATGCCGGAGTACCATGATAGGCCCATTTTCTTTTGTTCTGTGAAAGCATGTCGAACAAGGGCGTCCGATCCGGAAGTTTCCATGCTTTCTAGTCTTCGAACATAGCATGAACCCGTGTTCCTCTAAAGTGGTGTCAAAAGAAATTAAGACATTAGATCATGTTATTTATTTAATGTAATTTTGAGACCACCTTGGGGTCTATTTTTCGGAACCTAAATTATTTATTGCTTGGCCAATTTTTTCTTTCTTTATACTGGCCAAAAGCCAATAAAAGCATTCGACCCAGCCAAAAAAGTTTAAAAATTATGTCTCTTACGGTTTTCGAGGAAAGTCTTGTTAAAGTTGAAGTCGTGGTGTCAGTAAAATGGTAACAGATATATACAGATATAACTATATATATACACATATATGTGTATATATATACACATATTGTATTCCCATTTTTCCATCCGTTTAGAAAATAATTGTGTTTTAATAATGTCTCATTATACATTATATACATTATACATTATATACATTATATACATTATATACATTATATACATTATATACATTATATACATTATATACATTATATACATTATACATTATATACATTATATACATTATATACATTATATACATTATATACATTATACATTATATACATTATATACATTATATACATTATATACATTATATACATTATACATTATACATTATATACACTAGCAGGAACCCGTCTAACCCTAAAGTGGTGTCAAGACTCGAGAGACTAAAATAATTATTACCTATTTAATTCGCGTTTTTGACACCACTTGAGAGTCCAAATTTTGGGCACTAAAATTATTATTCCTTGGCCAATTTTTTATTTTTTCATGCTGATTTTAAGGCCATTAAAGCATTTGACCCAGTCAAAAAAGTTTCAGTTGTATATGTTTTACGGTTTTTGCGGAAAGTCGCGTTAAAGTTGATGCCGTGGTGTCAGTAAAATGGCACGGATATATACACATATAAATATATATCGTCTCGCTTTATATATAGTAAGATATAGTAAGATGAGCGGGATATAAATAAATCATCTCATTTCAGATACGAAATGTATGTACTTAATACGGCATACGGATTACGTAAAGATTCACACTACAGTGCATCGATAACTAAAATAAAAACTGGTGATACTTTACAGATTCTCACTTTTCAGTAACAGACTATATAAGGTCAACCAATCAAATATACATGGGGCCATAAATCAATCAAATATTGAATAAAATGTTCTGCACGCGATTGAAAAATGGATCATTCAAACAGGAAAACAAACAAAGATGAGTCTCCAACGGTCATTTTATTTTTATGCAACCATTTAAAAAGTTAAAAAGTGATCCTTTCTTTGTATGATATATAAAGTTTAAATATATCATTTAAAAGGTTCAGCAATGCTGAATGCTCTGCCATACGCATACATTTTATATTTTTTAGTCTGATATTCTATCCTATCCCCTATGACTAACCGATGCTTCTCCGGCAACATACAATTATTCTCTTTTAAGTAGGCAAAGGATTTTAAGTATCATTAAAGGTAGTTGAAATCATATTCCCACCGATGCAAATTTCTGATGAATCCGTGTATGCAACAAAGGGAAAATGCTCTTTTCAAGTTATTACATGAAAAATAATTTAAAGAATTGCAACTACGGATCAGATTTAAAGTGATCGGAAGGATAGGGATCAGAAAGAGAGGGATTAAAAGGAAAGAGATCGGAAAGAGAGGAATCGGAAGAAGAAAGATCGGATGAAGAAAGATCGGAAGGAGAAAGATCGGAAGGAGAAAGATCGGAAGGAGAGGGATTGGAAGGAGAGAGATCGGAAGGATAGATATCAGAAGGAGAAAGATCGGAAGGAGACGGATCCGAGGGAGAGGGATCGGTAGGAGAGGGATCAGAAGAAGAGAGATCGGAAGGAGAGATATCGGAAAGAGAGGGATCGGAAGAAGAAGGATCAGAAGAAGAGGGATCAGAGGGAGAAGGATCGGAAGTAGAAAGATCGGAAGTAGAAAGATCGGAAGGAGAAAGATCGGAGGGAGATGGATCAGAAGGAGAGGGATCGGAAGGAGAGGGATCGGAAGGAGAGGGATCGGAAGAAGAGGGATCGGTAGGAGAGGGATCAGAAGAAGAGGGATCGGAAGGAGAGATATCAGAAAGAGAGGGATCGGAAGTAGAAAGATCGGAAGGAGAAAGATCGGAGGGAGATGGATCAGAAGGAGAGAGATCAGAAGGAGAGGGATCAGAAGGAGAGGGATCGGAAGGAGAAGGATCCGAGGGAGAGGGATCGGAAGGAGAGGGTTCAGAAGGAGGGGTAGAAGGATCCAATGGATCAAGGGGAATGCAATCGATCGGATTGGGAAGAATTTCGGCAACTTTATAAAACATTCTAGCTGGGTTAAATATAACCATACATTTGTTTAAAAAGGTGCTGTATATAAAAGGATTGATAACTGAGTTTATTGGAAGTATGACAATAGAAAAGAGGCTGTACTGCGCTGAAGCGTCAATAACACCGAAGTAGTGAAGACCACTCACAATCACGAATGGTATCCAGCAAACAAAGTTTGTACCGATGATAGCAGCTATCTTTCTTTGTAATTTTTGGTTCCTCCTTCGGACCATTTTGGACGTTGGGGTCTTTCCCTTTGTCAGAATGCCGGAATCTTTAATTGTTTTGGCGTTTATAAAGATATACGAAATAGCAACTATGGCAAAACAAAGAATGTTAACGGATAAAATTGTCAAACTGAACCGTCTCTGAGGATCGTTCTGGTGAACAAAATATTTGAAGAGACACACTCCATCGTTACCAAAAAAATCAACCCTTCCTACTTTTCCATCTAAATTGCCATAATCATTTGAAAACATAGTCATCATAAGACTCAAGATAAGTGACCACTTCAATTGCTGCCTCTTTGCCCTGCCAAAGTATCGCTGTATCACATCAAAATGCCTATCCTTTCCAGCTTGTTCGATAAATAGCTTCATGTCAGTATCGTAGGTCAATCCATTTACAAATAAGTCTTCGAAATATGGAAGCAAGGGTGCAAGAGCAATTAATGAGGTCACAATAATTACAGGAAATATCATCACCACAAATTGAACGAGAATTTTTGTAAAGCTCATTCTCAATCCAGAATTTGATCCCACCATACTGTTTTGAATTCCAAAAACTCGACAGACACTGAGAATGGCTAACGATACAACAGAGATCTGACTTCCAATCGTGCTGATTACCCCCAAAGCTGAGCAATATTTACTGCTCAGCCATTTCAACTGCCTTTCGCAGAAGTTTGCACCATACGTATAGTCAACAATTGCTAATGAAAATAGATACTGTCCGGTTAGGAAGTCTCCAATACTAATAACCATAATCATTATCTTGTTTGCCAGCATTGTGCGCGATTTGCATTTCTTCAAATCCGCCCCATTTTCAATCATAACAACGATATTAAAAATGGTCGCAAGGAAACCAATTCCAAAAGCGGCAATTTTTTGAGCTAATCCATTTATTACATTCTTACCACACTCTTCATTACACTCATCCGACCAATCTTCGCAGTTTGCGGTGCCGTCACATTTTTGGGTGATTGGAATAAACGCACCACCACATTCGAAATGGTTTCCGCAGTTCAGTTCATCTGAACTATCCCCGCAATTGTCAACTAGGTCACAGACTTTAGAATACTCCACACACAGATTGTTGGCGCAAGGAAAGTAATCATTGGTGTATTTTCCTGATTTTTTACTGACGAAAGTGAGGTGCTTGTTATTGACCAATGTGTAGACTCTGTCCTTAAACTGGTCTTTGCAATCATTGTACTTAATTGAACTTGTGATAGGGCATTTAGTTGAATGCAGACACTTCCCAAGACAGCTCAAATAGAGGTAAACTTCTCCATACAGATGGTTACAATTATACAGCAAATCTGGATATATTACTTGCATCCTGCTGTAGACTCCATAGATAGTTTCATTAAAAACGTTAAACTCATCAGATATGCAAGAACTTTGCTGGTGCTCAACGTCGTGCAGGCCTTTGACGCAATAAGAAATAATTTTAAAAGTCTCAGCCGTATTAACCGTTGTAGAGACTCTTGCTTTGCCTCTACTCATTTTGCATATGTTATTTTCATTTCCGCATGTCTCGAGGCCATCACATAGATCAGGCAGCTCAATGAATCCAACACTTTCGTATGAGTGGCATAAAAACACGTCTTGACAGTCTGGATTCTTTTTTGTGGCAAAACGTGTTGTTGCATGGAAACCACATGTAGGCCAATAAGTAGAATTTTCATCGAGGCCACCAAGACAGTCTTCAAGACCGTCTCCAAGCCATGATGAAGGAATACTTAAAGCCTCTTCGTGTCTGTAGTTCCTATAGCATCTTTCCTCAGTCATTGAGAGACACTCTGACATGTCTTCGTCACTGCCATCCCCGCAGTCCTCCACTCCATCACATAGCTGATGTTTGTGGCAGGTACACGTGATGCCCATATAAGGAGGTACAGTCAACTGACGCCTCGATACACTGCAGGTCCATCTTGTTCTCGCAGAGTCCTCTCCTCACTTCGCCACACACCATCATCTTAGAGACAGTGCTAAAACCATACTCTGGGATATGGCACCTCACAGCTACTTTATTTAGGTCACTGCAGTTAGTTTGGTCTATGTAATTTGAGCAATACGGCTTTACATAGAGCCCAGAACTAGAATCAATACTCCTGAAACCCGTACCTAGTGCTGAGTTTTTGTAGTGATAGATGAATGTGGCACACCTGGTGAAGTTGAATATGGGTCGGACAAAATTATCCATTGTTTTATAATCATAGCTAAAGCACGAGGGGAATGTTGCCTTAATCGCATCTTCGCACAGCGTTTCTTCACTTTTGAATGCTCCTAGATCCATACAATTAGGGATTCCGTTACAAATTATAGAGGGTTCCAGTCCTGACCATGACACAACCAATGATTCCGTCACAAATTCTCGTGGGTTCCATGTAATAGCGCTTGTGACACCAAAGTCCGTATTTGTAGCCGTTACATTCACTTTCATCTCACAGCCTTCCATTTCACATATATTGTTACAGATTGTAAGTGTGGAATTTTCTACTTGTTCCACCTCTGGACATCCTATCTTTCCCAGGTCGGGAATGTTAGAGCAACTGACCTGTCGAGAACATATTTCGCTAACAGATCGAGCTTCAATAGCTAGATCCAGATCACAAAGGAAGAATCCGCAAACAGAAATGTCATCTGAAACAACATTCCAATCAGGGGACGAACCGCAAACCTGCAAATATGAAATTGAATTATAGTTTTTATACAGGGGGGGGCCAAAAGTCAGTACCCATACGTTGGCCTCAATAGCTCAATCACTGAGTGCCAAATTGAAATACTTCTTCTTGGTATGACTTACTACCAGGTTCGAGGAATTTGTTAAATCGAAAAATATTTGCGTTCATTTTCTTCAAATGAAGGTTTTTCGCATTTGTTAGATAGTTTGGATAGTCGGATCGAACCAAATTTTATTGAATGGTGTTTGGCCATTTGAATTACGTTTGTTCAGGTGATTGTGTTGAGGCTAGATCCGCATTACGGGAATCGTACAGAGAGCCCAATTACGGTGTCGTAATTGGGTAATCATTGAGTACCCAATCAATTTTGCTAACGAGATAAACAAATTGCTGATTATATTCCGGATTAAATGATCTATTGCAATGTGTTACAATCGAGTCTCTAATAGCTAATATGTTCACAAACAGTGAACACCAGTATAAGCAATTCAATGTTGATTGGGTGTGGCCCCCTAAAATCGAATTTTCAAATTTTGGTAACGGAATCCTTGAACAAGTAGGTACAGTATGTCATCTGCAAAGCAACAACTCTCAAATACAAAACACGGCGGTGGTATAAGACCCAACTTATGGGTACTGACTTTTGCCCCCCCCCCCCCCCTGTATATAGAAAGAGACATTTTTGAATACAGTTATGAGGAGACATTTTTGAATAAAGAGATGCATTTTCAAGTTCTGATAAGTGTAATGTAAGAATGTATAATCTTACTATATATAAACTTATAAAGCGAGACGATATATATGGAGGGTTCCGTACCATTTTACTGACACCACGGCATCAACTTTAACGCGACTTTCCGCAAAAACTGTAAAAGATATACAATTTAAACGTTTTTGACTGGGTCAAATGCTTTAATGGCCTCCAAATCAGCATGAAAAAATAAAAAATTGGCCAAGAAATAGGAGTTTTAGACCCCAAAATTTGGACCCCCAAGTGGTGTCAAAAACGCGAATTAAATAGGTAATAATTATTTTAGTCTCTTGAGTCTTGACACCATTTTAGGGTTATACGGGTTCCTGCTAGTGTATATAATGTATAATGTATATAATGTATATAATGTATATAATGTATATAATGTATAATGTATATAATGTATAATGAGACATTATTTTACACACGTAAGTTTACTTATCTGAGTTACCTGGTAACCGAACGGGTCATTGCTACAGGTTGCATTGAACATATTCGACCTCGAGAAAGACAATTTTTCCACAATCCAGTACGTCTCATCCGAGTAGGGACACTTGTACACAGCAAATCCATCGTAAATCTTCGAGCAGGCAGTTTGTAGAAAACTATTTGTTTCCTTAATCTTGCAAGACTGATTGATTTCTGAAAATGGAGAAACTTACCAACATTTCAGTTATTACTATTAGTGAATTGTGACGGCAAAAATTGGGGGGAAACGGAAAATTGCGTTATTTTTAAGTGAACCTCTCTATAATTGTCTATACACTATACAGTGTGTTTTCTATATGGTACAATTTGTGTTTCCCCCAATATGCCTGGTATATAGTAGATTTAAAGGTTTAACTCTAATTTTGTACCTGAAGCAATGATAATCACAGTAGTAAGAATGATCGTATAGCCTCTGAACATGGTTACTTTGTTGTTGATATCCATAAATCTGTTCAAAAATGTAATAAGAAATTAATTCGAATGACAATTCGTTGCACATATGCAACCACGTATGCAGATCGGCGAGATACGAAGGATTGACATCATGAATCAAATGTTACATTGTGTTTGTCCTGACTGTTATTTATAAATATGGTATCAATTTATATTATTATAAATGAACCATGAACTGTCCGTCTTTAAGATTAACGATAGAAGGTCCCAAATTGACACACAGTGGCACAGGGTTAGAAAGGGAAAAGCGTGGGGTGCCCTACATAGACTGAAGGATGTCTGGAAAATCCAAACTCTCAAAGAGCCTCAAGATTAAATTGTTCATAGCGGCTTGTGAATCAGTACTGCTCTACGGATCAGAAATCTGGACACTGACAAAAGCTCAAGAGAAAAGTTTGGACGGGACATGCACAAAAATGTTGCGTATGGTGCTGGGTATCTCATGGAAGGACAAGGTCAGCAATATAACTTTGTATGGTAGCCTACCAAGGCTGTCAAACAAGTTACGAAGCAGGAGATTAAAAATGGCGGGACACTGCATCCGACATCCTGAGCTACTTGCCAGTGATTTAGTCTTATGGGAACCTACGCACGGTAGAGCACAGCAAGGCCGACCAAGACAAAGCTACTTGTCTATTGTCTATGTTACTGAAGGAAGTTGGGACAAACTCTAAAGAGGAACTGCGAACCCTGATGCGGGACAGGGATATATGGAGGGGGTTTTCTGGCGTAGATCGGACTTAACTCCGACATAGTAGTAGTAGTAGTAAAAGTGGCTGAAATCCCAAATCAGAAGCCCACTTCTCTCTTAGACTTAGAGATCAGGAACTCTTTGGTGGCTTAAGATTAAAAACAGTTGCCTTGTATGTGAAGAATCGCTTTGATAAACCACAATGCGACGGCTACTCGGACTTTAATACTAATAAATACGGATAACCAAATACCAGTAGTTTTACACTGAAATCAAATATGGAATATTCTAGAAATGCAATACTGATCAACCAACTTTAAAATGTTTTCTAAATACTGCACCAAACGCCATTATTACTCGTTTAAATTTCTTCGAAGTAGCGCGCGCCGCTTTCTTCTCGAAATGGCCCAAGGCAAGTGCAACGAAGTAGTGCGCGCTTGTATCACGTTGCGACCCCCACGGTCGTTTCACTTTATCGTTCTGACGATACAGGGGGAGCCGCGCACTTCGTGCGCGGCGGGTCATACAACGTATGACAAGTGCGCGCTGGGCTAGTCCATTAAGTTTAAAAATGGACAACCAATCGGCCAATCCCGGTTTAATCCCGGTCTTATTCGGCCGGTCCCGGTCCCGGTTTTATATATTAGGACCGTCGATGGTCGACGAGTCCAACTCGGCGCGCGTCTTGGTAGGTTACAAACCTACAAAGAAACGGTACTTAGCTTAGTGAAACAACAATGGGGGTCACGACGTGATACAAGTTTACTCCTTGGAGGACTAATTCGCCGCTTCTATTCGACGCATCGCTTGTATAAGGTTTATAACCTACCAGCAGTGCAGTATAACCTATACCAGGACGCGCATCGAGTTGGACAATGATTTGATTTGAAATTTTTACAAAGTAGCAAGTATACAAATGTACAGTAAATCGAACAAACATATAAAATAGGCCGAAATCAGAAATGTATAAATGCTAAAAAGCGTGGGTCAGTGAATAAGTACAAAGGACAATTCGCAGAACAGGAGGTTTTTGTCATACGTTGTATGACCCGCCGCGCACGAAGTGCGCGGCTCCCCCTGTATCGTCGAAGACACTATAGTGAAGCGACAGTGGGGGTCACCACGTGATACAAGAGTTTTTTACTGGGCGGCGCTCAGCCTGTCATTCCGCCGAATCTTTATTCTTTATGTTTATGAACATAATAGCCTGGGGTCCCCAGGTAAAAGTTTTTTGGCCGCCCAAAGTCTCAATAACATCACTTCCACCTTATTACGAATGATGATTAATAAATCTACACTCGACTGTCATTTGATTTTTTAACACGTCCTCTAGGTGGCTCTGAATGACTATTCCGGCTCTGAATGACTATTCAGTATTATCAAATATCAATAGATGGCCATCTACTTATTAGGACGTCCGCCAAAATCGCAAATTTTCAGACCACCCCTCCCTCGCGCGGACGTCCGGATTTCCTATTACTTTTATTAAAAAGTATTTGAAAAAATATAAGAGTACAAAAGTATAAGTATAAAAACCCAATCAAATTCATAGTTAATAAAATTCAAAGAGTTGAAATAAAATTCATAAAGTTAAAATAAATGGGACTTTTTCGTTAATTCTACCAAATTTCCGGACGTTCGGATTTTCAGAAACCACCCCTTCCCCCTGTCCGGAGTTGTCCGAAATTCCAAAACCACCCCCTCCCTATTTGCCGGACGTCTTAAGTAGGGGGTGCACCATAAAAATAAATTTGCTCGGATTTTAAAAATTTTTGTACCATTGTTTTCTAGAGACTGTGAGAATTTTCACAATACCAAATTTGTCATACCTTTTTGGAAAGATCAGTGAGTTTCGCCTAGGTGCCATATTTGATGGTGCGCGGCTTTTGGAGCAAAATTAGCTGTAAAAGTCGCGTAATTTGACCAAATTTGACCAAATTCGTTTATTTTTGTCGTATTATTTGGATATATCTTCAGTTCCTTGAATGAGATCATTCTGAAAATTGGCGACGACCTTCCAATAGGGCTTTCACAACTGTCCGAAAAATTTGGTGGATATCGGAGTTGATATAGTGATCAAAATACGCTGCTTTTAGCTGTAACATAATGTCTGATGGTTGGATATGCTTTAAACTTTTCGGACACCTTCCTTGTAAGTCTATGAGTAAGCTTACCAATTTTTGTTGCAATCGGAGGTCGGGAAGGATACTTAATATCTATTTGTTTGAAGAAAATTGTGCTGGCCGAAATTAGCGCTAAAAAACCATCCTACAGTCGGCACGCGCGGCTCACTGTCGATGGCGCACTACCTATCTTAAGAAGATTGTAGGTTTAAAACCTACCAGGACGCGCGCCGAGTTGGACTCGTCGACGGTCCAATATATGGAACAAATATTTTACGAGTATCACCCGTTAAAGTTAGTAACGCATTTCGCCGATCTAACTACGGAGAAGCATAATTGATTGGAGGACTTCGCTGCTTCGACGCGCAAACTCGATCAAAACTATGAACTAGCATTCTTGCTTCGCATCGAGATGGTTGCAGAGCAACGATCTGGAAGGGTTGACATCGTCAATAGACATAATTGAGTGCGAGGCCCAGTAACGAATCTCGCTACAATGACACAATAGCTATGTGTAAAACTGATTGCGGATTAGGGTAAAAAAGTTCAAAACATTGATTACGTAATATATGAACAACCCCTCACTATATACCGTAACATTCTTTACTAAAGCATACCAGTAACAATATGGCTGCGCACTTGCGCGTCGGGCCCACTACGTGAGACAGCATAAGTGTCAACAAAAAATATGATGCTAAATCTCTATGGAAAGACCAGATGCAGAGTTCTACGAAATGACGCACGACGCGTGAGTCTGTTAATATAAATATAAAAATGTGAGTACTGAGTCCATTAGTGTAACAAAAAGTTCTATTGTGTCAAAAGTTCTATTGTGTATAAAAAGTTCTATAGTGTCGAAAAAGTTCTATTTTTATCAGTTTGTAGATTATATATTCGCATATATCCAAGCTACCCACAAGCACAACGTGATACCATTAACAATGCAGTGTGTACAACACCAACCAATTGCAAAGATGCGAAAACATTTATTATTATTATTACATCGAGATGGCAGGGCCTACTCTCATGCTGTCTATAATAGATGATGATTAACTCTGAATAAGTGCTGTATATGAGTGATGATTTCGCTCTGAAAATCATGGATAGTAGCTCAATAGGTACTAGGTAGAGCAAGGCCGCGATATGTGAAGGTTCTGGGATCATTCCCCAGTTTTTCACAGTTAATCATCATCCATAGACAGCATGAGAGTAGGCCCTGCCATCTCAATACTACTAGCTGTTTTGTAGTACATGCCCTGCTTCTCCTTTGCAATTCACCTCATATTTATTACTACAGTATCTGCCAAAACCAACATGGCCCATGTAGGAAAGGGCATTGACGTTGTTTCACACTTGGCCCTGCATCCCAGGCTGACGGTCGGCCTCCACTCTGTAAGAATTACCTTTAGTGAAGGCCGATGGTCAATAAATAGCGATGTTAGAGCCTGGTGTGAACAAATCCTGACCTCCTTTTACACCATTGGAGTCGACTCTCGCAAATGCGAGAGGAAAGATCCCGAGGAAGGCACCATTAGTTTTGGTAGGTTGCATATTTAAAAATTTAAACAAATATATATATATAACAATGGACAAAGCAAAGCATTGCTCAACCTTTTAAAATAACTTATTTCACAGCTTTATGTATTATATAAAGAAAGAGCGTTTTTTAAATGGATGCAAAAATAAAATGACTGCTTGCTTGAGAGTTGGGACGCCATGAGATTCGACTATGGCATTGTAATGGACTCAATATTTACTTTTGAAAGGGAAGACCCACACAACCGGGACAGTGAGAAGCTCTTGTATCACGTTGCGACCCCCACGGTCGTTTCCATGACTCAGTCGTTTCACTATGGTGAAGGGGGAGCCGCGCACTCGTGCGCGGCGGGTCATACAACGTATGACAAAGAAGCTCCACAACTTTAACAATTGGATTGCTGCGACCATGACTCAGCCTCAAGCTAAATTGAAAGTGCTTTAATTCTAACAGTCCACATTTTTACATTTTTAACCGGTAACGTCCACTTAATAAAGTAAACAAGACTTTTAAAATCATTCAAAGCAATAATTTACGCCGATTCCATGTAAACAATTAATACTCACAATGAGGAGGTAAAAATATTAATTTTGAAGATAACAACACTTTTACCACAAATAAATGACGTGTAGCACGGCTAAAAAAGCCGAGCTCAAATGTTTGGAACACTTGCACGCCCAACAACACGATATCGTTTACACATTAGATTAGTTAGCCAGGGGGCCGGAGGGGGGAGGGGGGTATTAGATTAGTTAGCCAGGGGGCCGGAGGGGGGGTATTAGATTAGTTAGCTAGGGGGTTTACATATTAGGTTAGCTATGAAGTGGTCAGTGGCCGGAGGGTTGTTTAGCAATATAGGTAATTTACACATAACTTATGCCATGTAATGGTTATGCTAATAACTATCTTTACTGCCTAATAACTCGCGAAGGAGAGGTTTAAATGGCAGATACGTGGCTTACGTAACCATGGTAACATGTAAACGATTCCATAACAACTAAAAGAGCACCGTTAGTAAGAGTTATAACTCCCCGGTCGGGGAGGGGATAACCTCCTCGCCCAGGTAACCAGGTAACCAGGTAACCAGGTAACCAGGTAACCAGGTAACCAGGTAACCAGGTAACCAGGTAACCGTTACTAAGAGTTATAACTCCCCGGTCGGGGAGGGGATAACCTCCTCGCCCAGGTAACCAGGTAACCAGGTAACCAGGTAACCAGGTAACCAGGTAACCGTTAGTAAGAGTTATAACTCCCCGGTCGGGGAGGGGATAACCTCCTCGCCCAGTGACTCCAACACTTCCTGTTTGTAGTCCAGGAAATCTCCGTCTATCTGTTCTATAGACTGGTCCTCAACTATCCACAAGTTACAGTTCGTTTCTGTGATGAGTCGAGAGTCGTGGGAAACTATCACTACCCCTGTGAAAGAGAGAGAGGTCGCTACATGAGTTGAATATCAAATTTCTATAATGATGAGATCACACACGTACATTCCACACTCTTACATTCTAGACGGTACACAATCTCCATTATATAATATACTATATATCATTCAACGCTGCAGCTGCTGTTATAGTTATGTTGTAGTTCTTCCACTGTAGCGATAGTATATTATATAGTAGCAAAGCTTTAGGGGACACAGTTTTCGCCGGATTAAATTAATTCCGAAATATTACTCTTGGTGACTACATAATTCCATTATGAAGATTACACGTGTACTTACCTTAAACCCCACTATATATCCCCAATATATATATGTATATTTCCAGTATATTTCTAGTTAAATGTGTTTTACTTACCTTAAACCCCACTATATATCCCCAATATATATATGTATATTTCCAGTATATTTCTAGTTAAATGTGTTTTACTTACCTTAAACCCCACTATATATCCCCAATATATATATGTATATTTCCAGTATATTTCTAGTTAAATGTGTTTTTACCTCCAGTGAACTCGTTAATGGCCTCTGCCAGAGCGTCTATACTCTCCAGATCCAGGTTGTTTGTAGGTTCGTCTAGAATCAGTATATCGGGCTCTCGGAGACTCAGATCTGCGAACACTACCCTCGCTTTCTGGCCGCCTGATAACGCTTTTATCTTGATAGTGTGGGCATGACCTGGGGGTTACTGGTGTTATTACACAGGGGGGGGGGGGGGGGGGGGGGTTACTGGTGTTATTACACAGGGGGGGGGGGGGGTACTGGTGTTATTACACAGGGGGGGGGGGCTTACTGGTGATATTATACAGGGGGGACCTGGGGTTTACTGGGGTTACTACACAGGGGGGGGGGGGGGGTTACTGTGGTGTTATTACACAGGGGGGGGGGGTGTTATTATGGAGGACGTTCTAAAAAGTTACTTTTCACAGCTTATAACCTAACTTGAGATTTAACATTTTAACTTTCTCACTTACTAGCAAGTCCATATCTCCCAAGGTTCTTCCTCGCGTCCTGGTAGTCCAGGTTAAACTGGTCCTGTAGGTACTCCACAGCCGTCTTCTCGTACGGAAACTGGTCCGCCGCGTGCTGGTTGTACGTTCCTATCCTCTAAAATAGTTGTCATCATTTTATTATTGTAAATTAGCATTCTCAGATTGAAATCACTCAACCTAATTTGTTAACTGTAGACTAATGGGTTTCGATCAGGGCAAACGAATGTATTGAGCGTGAGACAATTGTCCAAATATCATTTCATACGGGCGTTATCTAGATCTATAATTGCTGAGCATATTATCGCCTTGACCTTGACAGATATTGTCCACTATCATATTATTGGTTAATTTCTATATTATTCTTCTTAATTAATAGAATACTGATAGTTGGATAATATTGTCTCAACTCTCATTCAACCGGATCCAACTATCAGTATTTCAATCATGAGACTAATAAACAGCGAACTACTCCAACATTTGAATTAATAGAACTAGCAGGAACCCGTCTAACCCTAAAGTGGTGTCAAGACTCGAGAGACTAAAATAATTATTACCTATTTAATTCGCGTTTTTGACACCACTTGGTAGTCCAAATCTTGGGCACTAAAATTCTTATTCCTTGGCCAATTTTTTATTTTTTCATGGTGATTTGATGGCCATAAAAGCATTTGACCCAGTCAAAAAAGTTCCAGTTGTATGTCTTTTACGGTTTTTGCGGAAAGTCGCGTTAAAGTTGATGCCGTGGTGTCAGTAAAATGGCACGGATCCATATTTATATATCGTCTCGCTTTATATATAGTAAGATAGTAAGATATAAAACAGTACTTAATTTCAATGTTCAGGATATGGCTCGGGAGGACAATTCTGACATCTGCTCGACTGTCTAGCAAGATAAGGAATCGAGAATTATTGTGTCATAGCCAGTCCAAATGGAAGACTCACTGATAAAGAAAATAGTCAGACTCGGGATAGAAATCTCCGTGTCTTACTGCAATAAGGAATGTAAACGTCCTACCATGCTGCCTCCAGTTCCTCTTTGTAAAGTAATAGATAAGTATCCAGAAAATATGGAAAAAGAACCACCCGTAGTTAAACAGCAGCGTGAATACGAAGGAGAAGTAGACGTGTACAGAGCTCTGTATGATACAAAATTGGACTTTATTGTTCTTCATGGGTTACGTTTTACACATCAGCAGTATAGTTTGTTTGTTGAACATGATTGTACTAAGAAAGACACTGAGGAGGAGGGAGAAATAGACTTTCTTGTGATTCACGATAAATTTGTAGCTATATTGGAAGTCAAAGCAACTGATTGCGAGAGGGAAGATAGGTTTACAAATAACTACAAGAAATCAAAGAAGCAAAGAAAAACCGTGCGTGACCTTATTATGGGTATTAGCAGAACGTTCAAGTTCATTGAATACCCCACAGTGAGCCAATTTACTGTTTTTGCCAACATAAACAGACATTTTGCAGAGGAGAAGTTAGGAAAAAAGTACGCTTCTCTGACTGACGAAGAAAAACATAGCATCCTCTTCAAAGATGACCTAGAAAATCGAGAGGTTCTGAAGAGTCGCTTATTAGCGAAACCAGGACTGCACATAGAAAATAAGGTTAAATGGGCTCTTCTAGGATTGTGGTGTGTAGATAACAAAAATGACAGCGATGTTCAAACGATCTGTGATTTCAGTAAAAACATCGAACGAGTCGACTGTCTGCTGAGAATGTCGGAAATAACGAGTGGTATAAAAGGTGGAAAGAGATCGCCCTTGGTGAAGAGTGCCCCTAAAATTATCAGAGATTATCTGAACATACTTTGTCTTACAGAGGACCAGCTCGCGATTTATAATAGTAAGCGGAATAAACTATGGATCAGAGGACCAGCCGGAAGTGGGAAGACTATTTTGCTCGTGGCTAAAATTATTGAAATATTTCTAAACACGAGTAAAAAAGTAACAATTCTGGTTCCCAGTCACGCTGCAGCTTTGATGTATGAAGATTACTTGAAACACGCCAATATCGAGCCGATTCTGTGCGGATTAGATTACACAACCAACCAAACCATTTTAGATCAAAATCACAGAGTTTTTGTTAAGTATTTTCAAGATCTGAAGTTAGGCCGTATCATATCGACAAACGATGATTCCGATAGACTGCATTTCTTATTAGCTACTTTGTCATCGGACTACGAAGCGATATTCATAGACGATTTCCAAACGTTTTGCTCAGGAATGGATAAGGATATGCAACATATTACCATCGAAAAATTTACTGAAGAGCTGAAGCAGACCATTCAAAACTAGTTTGGATAAGCTGTGATTTTTTACAGGGTCAGTACATGGATTGTTCGATAGAACAAATTCCAGAGTTAGATCACTTAACATCGGAATTTGACGTTATTCATGACTTATCAACAAATTTAAGAAACACCTTTGAAATATGCCATCTACTTGAAAGAATCAGAAATCTGAGGACGGAGTCAGGGTCTCTAAAATATAGCCAAAGTGGACACTTCATACACGGACCAAATAGTTCGGCTCATTTTTTAATATGTGATCATCCCAACACGATTGCCGTAGTATCGCGTGTGCAAGAATTTCTTGAGGGGGAATTATTTCATTTAAAGAAAACTAAGGTGGCACTCATCGTTGACTTTGACAGTAAGGTCAATCCACAGTCAAAATTGTACCACGAACAAATGTTTACCATTAAAATCGGTCGCGAAGCAAGGTATGGTCAAATATTTGAAAGTACATTAAAAGAAATAGATCATATGAAAGGAGGACAAATTGACTGGGAAAAAGGTTGCAGGGATGTTCTTGAAAGGGCTGATACAGAACCTGATGTTGATTTATGCGACTATGAGGGAACATTTTCATTGGAATGGTCGGCGGCAATAGGAATACTAGAGATACAATTACCCAACATCATGTCATATCCAGAAAATCCTTTTAAAGAGGACGGATTTTTGCAAGAATTTTTGCAACGATTATACAATGAAACATTATCCAAGATATATATCATAGCCTCACGAGCAAGGGTTTACTGCTCAATAATAATTGTGATCAGAAACATAATAGGTTTCGTTGAATTTGTTCAAATGTCACCGCCATATGAATTAATAAATCGGACGTACAAAGAAATCTATCCTGATGATGGACGGTTTATAAATTGGACAGAGAAAAAAATGGAAAACGCTGAAAAACAAGCTATACTATACATGAATAATCTGACTAGAGATTTTTTTCAAAAGTTGGAAAACGATACAGCCGAGGCATTCGGAAGTTTTTCTAATCTAAGTAAACTATAGGTAAAAATATAATATTAATCATAAGCTAAAATGTACTAATCTTTGTATTCTAAATGGGGAAAAGGAAGAAACATTGTCAGTCAGTCGAGAAAATTGTCAGTCAGGCTATATGGCAGCTTTGTAGATGTTGTGACTATGCTAGTAGTGGTCCCAGGCTTGCGACTGGAATTGCGGTGTTAAATCGATTTAATGGTACCAACGATCCACCTCCCACTTGTTGTTTGGTACTTAGCATTAATAGTGTTAGCTGTAGCCATTTATAGCAAGAATCTTAAAACTAAAGGGGATGACAAGGAAAAGAGGAAGGAAAAAGAATAACGGGACAAACAATTAATTAAAGTATTAATAGGAGCATTAGATATTGTAATTACAAGCTTCAATAATAAATCACTGACTAAAACTTCTAATTAAAATGACACTTGGTACGCTCGCCCATTTTCACTGGTCAGTCTGAACTTCGGTTTAGCACGTTGTACACTTATTCACCTAAGTTTCAGAATTTGTTCAGTTTAGCAGAGTTAGTACCCGTGTTTCAATAAATCAAAAGATATCAGGGGAGTTCTTTAATAATGTTACGGTCATCTAGAATACCGAACTTCCTGAAAACGTTATCATATTTCCTCAGACAACGTTTAATGCCTTTAATCAGTCTATCACGGCTATATCCTCTATCAATTAGAATTTTGAATATTTTGTGAAGATGGGAGGTAAAGATATCCAATCTAGTGCAAACATTACCATATCTAAGAACTTGACTTGAAAAAACGTTGTAGCCAACCTCGGTTGGGATGTTACTGTGAGGAAATGTAAGGGATACAACATGAAAATTAAAATCATCAGTTTTGTTATACACTGATATTTCTAGTCCTTCTGTGGAAATATTAATATTTAAATCAAGGTAGTTAATGATTTTATTATTGGAACCAGCTCGCTCCATCTCCAATGAATTAGGATAAATATCTTTAATCAATTTATGAAAGTAAAGGTAGTTAATAATAGATAAATCGTCAACATATCGTTTATTATTGGATAATATCTTTGCTAATCCCATTTTCTTTTCCTGAAGTAAACGTTTCATATAATTAAATTCCTTTTTGCCAACAGTGAGATCAGCTATAGGGGAACTTGAATTTCCACCCATAGGAATACCCTTGGTTTGTATGAATACAATCCCACCGAAGACGACATAAGTGTTATAAATAATAAATTTAACAGCCTCTTTTAGGTCATCTTGACTAAAGCAGGCATGACAATCATAGGTTTTATTGGAAAAGAAACATGTATTACTGTCTCTTTTAGAAATACAAATATATCTATTACGGTCTGAAAATATTAAATCAATAACTTCATTAATCATATTCTCTACTTCAATCAAGTCTAATCTGGTATAAAGAGTAGTAAAATCATATACTTGTATATTATAAACATCGCTATTTTTGATAGCTTCAAGGAATTCACTTGAGGAATCTATGCTCCAAAACATGTTTATACCGCTGTTGTTGTAGATTGCCTCGCAGTATTTCTTGAAGTATTTCCTCAAAAGTTTCAGACAACAGTTAACTTGGACGTTAAGTTGTTTCGTAACGCAAAAACGGGCACCTGCAATGAACCTCGCCTTGTAAGGGTTCTTATGAAGCTTAGGGTTCCAGAAGATGCGTGCTAGTCGCAAGTTTTTATCTTCAACTTGTACATTAAATCTCTCCTTTAGACTCTCAGATATTTTATTGACATAATGAGTCTCGTCTTCGCTACAGGGTTTATATGTATCATTACCTATACATTCTAGAGTATTAGGATCAAAACCCATTTCATTGACAAGAGTTTTTACATAAAACTTTTTACAAATAAATGAAAAATTACCAGAAGCTTTGTCGATACTACAAATAATGTATTTACTTTTCAGCAATTTAAGACTTCTTTTAACATCATCTTTTTCCAGTGTGTTTTCTTTTATTTCAAATGTTTCAGGAAAGTTTTTCTTGTAATATTCAATACGATTGGAAACTATTGATAACACTTTTTCCTTCCAATCGCTGAACTTTACTTCTTTTTGACAGTACTTTCTACTTTTTGATTTTATAAATTTATCGACAGCTTCGGTAACTGACATATATATCTCATCTGGAGATTTAAATGTGGGAATTCTGTATTTACAACCGTAGGAAAGTACTTCCCTAAGTTCAACATTATCAACAATATCTAAATTACCAGTAACTACATGTCCATGAGGAGGATAATTGAAAGGGGAGGAGTGACAATCGCATGGACTACCTAAAATAGATTTAATATCAGAAATAGAAAGTTTCTTTAAGAATGAAGCATAGTTACAAATAGAAAGACTTATAGGATCATTATACTCATAATAAATCTGTAATGGTGTAAAAGACTGAATCAAAATGGGAAGCAAATCAATGACTGAAGTGTCAGAGAAAATAGATTTTAGGTTAAGATTATCAATGAATTTGCAATTAAATGGAACAATTATAAATTCTCTATTACTGGATTCAGATTTGTTCTGATGGTATTTGGGGGAAAATGTTGAACAGAAAGAGGAACATACGTTGTAAATCAATCCTGAATTATTTTGACTCAAAGAGTAGAGAGTGTCTAAATCTGATAAGCTATAACATTTTAATGTTTTGTATATGGAATGTTCTGAAGAGATGTTATCTTTCAGCCTGTTAATATCAGACTCTATGGTATCCAGAGACTTCTTAGGCTGAACTTTCTTCTTTCCATTCCCTCTGCCACGTTTGTATCGAGCAATCTGTCCACTAAAATAATTCATAACCCGATCTTGGGAGATGTTGCCCGTTCCTTTCTTCTTGTCATTAAGACCAAGAGGGAATGCTGTCCCAAGCTTCTCTATCCAGTAATCCTCCAGGAGAAGTAAATCATTTTTGACATCGGTGGACATGTCAGAATCAACATAATCTACAATCTGTATGGAAGCATCTGAGAAGACGTGACCAGGAATATTAAAATGTTCATATAAAAATGTGGATGATTTGGCTTTGACACAATTTCTGTGGCCATTGACTCTTTTATGAAGTGGTTGAGTTGTTTCTCCAACATATTGTTTTTTACAGGTAGAACAGGTAATAACATAAATAACATTATTAGTTTTACAATTAAATATAAAATTGTATGTCCAAAGATAAAATCATTATTAAAAGTACTGCTCCTAAATGTATTAACAGGATTAAAACTGTTGCAAGTGAGACAACCTCTACCATTGCAACATCTAAAAGTGCTAGAAAAGACATTACTAGGGGTTACCCATTTATTCAAGGATTTTGAGAAAAATTTACCATTACGTTTAAGTCAAGAAGGTAACATCATCCCTTTCGGCGTTTCCGCCTAGACCCAACGACTCGAGATAGGCCAAGGACAACGGGTCGGACATCAACCTATTGTCATGGGGCTGCCATGATTGGGCGGGCGTTAGATGTCATGAACCTAAATAGTTCTCCCACCGACGCAGTGTAGCCTGGCGAGATTCTTCGCGACCATAAAAATCTCTTAGAACCGGATCTTGCACTGCCGCTGTTTCTCGTACCGTAGCATGGCGGACAGCTCACGCCAGAAAATGAAATAAACAGGTAAATACAGGATAAATCAGGAGATGTATGTACAACAACAAGACTTCAAGGAGGGCGCCCAAGAAAACAAAGATCAACCAAATCTCGGAACCAATGGCCGGGAGAGATATAAATGTAATTATAGAGCAATATCAAGAAAAGCTAAGGAATACCAACCCGGCGACTGTAGCAAAAACGAACCGGAGACATCAAATTTTCTAAAAGGAGCAGCATTGAAGAAGATGAAAGAAGAAATCAGAGTGGTTCCTCTAACAAAAAGTGAACGAGATCTTGCCGAAGCTAAAGAGGCATTAAGAAATGTCGTACACCTGGAAAATGCTGATGGTTCCGGACTTGTGATATTTCCCAATAACTTACACTCAGAGTGATTTTGATATTTAAAATTAGAGTCCTTGCTTGTATTTTGATAAACAAATGCACATTTTAGTGTTTTTTATTTCACTATCACTAACCAGGTGATGGTTAACTTGGGGGGGGGGGGGGGGGGGGGGGGGGGGGGGGGGGGGGGGGGGGGGGGGGGGGGGGGGGGGGGGGGCACTATACTTTTTTGCCTTTTTTGGTGTATGGACATGGTGTAAAAAAGTGAAGAGAACCCCCCATATATTATAATATATATCAATATAATATATATTATAATATATATTATTTAAATATCCTATATCACTACTACTAACCAGGCGGTGGTTGACTCTGCGTTCTCCAACATTAGACTTCAGTTTGCCGAGTAGCAGGTTGAGAAGTGTAGACTTACCCCCCCCCCCCCCCCCCCCCCCATACCCTATACCACTACTACTAACCAGGCGGTGGTTGACTCTGCGTTCTCCAACATTAGACTTCAGTTTGCCGAGTAGCAGGTTGAGAAGTGTAGACTTACCCCCCCCCCCCCCCCCCCATACCCTATACCCTATATCACTACTACTAAACAGGCGGTGATTGACTCTGCGTTCTCCAACATTAGGTTCCAGTTTGCCGAGTAGCAGGTTGAGGAGTGTAGACTTACCCCCCCCCCCCCCCCCCCATACCCTATACCCTATATCACTACTACTAAACAGGCGGTGATTGACTCTGCGTTCTCCAACATTAGGTTCCAGTTTGCCGAGTAGCAGGTTGAGAAGTGTAGACTTACCCCCCCCCCCCCCCCCCAATACACTATACCACTACTACTAACCAGGCGGTGGTTGACTCTGCGTTCTCCAACATTAGGTTCCAGTTTGCCGAGTAGCAGGTTGAGGAGTGTAGACTTACCCCCCCCCCCCCCCCCCATACCCTATACCCTATATCACTACTACTAAACAGGCGGTGATTGACTCTGCGTTCTCCAACATTAGGTTCCAGTTTGCCGAGTAGCAGGTTGAGGAGTGTAGACTTACCCCCCCCCCCCCCCATACCCTATATCACTACTACTAACCAGGCGGTGGTTGACTCTGCGTTCTCCAACATTAGGTTCCAGTTTGCCAAGTAGCAGGTTGAGGAGTGTAGACTTACCCACCCCGTTAGGACCCACTATAGCTATTCTACTCTCCATATCCAGCCCGAACTCTATGTTGTTGAATAGCTTAGGTTGGTCGGAGTAGCCGAATGTTACATCTGGGGAATGTGTGATCAGAAATGTGGATTGGTGTGATCCTTCAGGTTACCATGGTAACATTAGATCCCCCCTGTTTATTGGTGTGATCCCCCCTGTGGGATAGCTATAGCTACCCCCCTGTGTGATTAGAAATTTGGATTGGTGCGATCCCCCGCCCCCTGTTTATTGGTGTGATCCCCCGGACCCCCCCCCCCCCTGTTTATTGGTGTGATCCCCCCCCCCTGTGGGATAGCTATAGTTTAAGTTACCCCCCTGGCCCTGTGATATTTGGATTGGTGTGATCCCCCCTGTGATATTCTGATTTGGATAGGTTCACATATTACGTAAACCTGCCGAAGTAGTAGGAGCGAGGGGTTTGGAAAAGCTTATTCTACACGTGGCTCAAGGAGGGGTGGTTTGAAAAAGGAAAAATCTGGCTTACGTAATATGTGAACAGATCCATCTACTGATCTGTATCATTTGAAATTTATGAATTATTATTTTATGAGGATTTTTATCTTTTATTCGTCGTTTTACTCTCACGATAAATTCTGTCAAGTTAAAATAATTCAAATAAAAGGACTCACCATAAAGACCAAGAATAGGTGGACTCAGAGATGGGGGACTGGGAAATGTGAACTTTACTTTATACTCTTGTGGTCGCTTTAGTAACTCTTCAACCTTAAAAGTACATAATTCTAAAGAATGTTTAAATTTAAGTTGATTAGTTCAGAATCGTAACAATGAACTGAATCACGTTCAGTATGTTATTATAGGTGTAGTTTACAAATATCAAAACTATAAAATGTGTTCCAACCTGTGGCCCGTCGTCATCCACATCTTTCTTGTTCTTGTTTTTCTGTTTCTGCTGTGTTTTCTGCTTCGCCTCTGCTTGCTTTTTACTTGCTCCTGACTTCTTGAGCTCCTTCAAACGTTTCTCCTGTAAAATATCAAATGAATAATTCTGGGTCGTAAAGTAAAATGCACACACGATAAAATCAATTAATTCTGCCAAGATTAGACCGAATCTAGTAGCAGAGTGCACACTCAACTTGGCAAGTAACTATGGTAACCTGGCCCCTGCTACTAGAGTTACTAAGTAACCATGGTAACCTGGCCCCTGCTACTAGAGTAACCATGGTAACCTAGCCCCTGCTACTAGAGTTACTAAGTAACCATGGTAACCTAGCCCCTGCTACTAGAGTTACTAAGTAACCATGGTAACCTGGCCCCTGCTACTAGAGTAACCATGGTAACCTGTCCCCTGCTACTAGAGTAACCATGGTAACCTGGCCCCTGCTACTAGAGTAACCATGGTAACCTGGCCCCTGCTACTAGAGTAACCATGGTAACCTAGCCCCTGCTACTAGAGTAACCATGGTAACCTAGCCCCTGCTACTAGTAACCATGGTAACCTGGCCCCTGCTACTAGTAACCATGGTAACCTGGCCCCTGCTACAAGAGTTACTAAGTAACCATGGTAACCTGGCCCCTGCTACTAGAGTTACTAAGTAACCATGGTAACCTAGCCCCTGCTACTAGAGTAACCGGGTATAGACCTGTTTTTCATACGCTTTTTCTTGCTCCTTCCTTTTTTGTACATTCATCTTCTTAAAGTCGTTGTAGTTTCCTCTGTAGTAGTGTAGCTTCTGCTGGTCTAAGTGTATAATGTCTGTGCACACGTTATTCAAGAAATCTGCGGGGAAATTGTATTTATTGGTAGATTGAGGAGATAATATAGTCATCAATTCTTCTGTCTACCGCTTCTTAGCATTCATTCTTAATGACAATTTGATATTAAGATGCAACAATCCCAATAGGACTCTACATGTAAGACAATAACTTTCTATTCAATATTAATGGGGGGGGGGGGGAGGGGGGGGAGGGGGCCATATTAATCCATTACTTTATACCTTGGTCGTGAGAAACGATAAGAAGTGTTTTCTTCCATCCCTGAAGATAGTTGTCAAGCCAAATAACAGCGTTCAGATCCAAGTGATTTGTGGGTTCGTCTAACATAAGTAGAGTTGGTTCCAAAAACAGAGCCCTGAGAAATTGTAAGTGTGGTGAGCCAAAAATAAGAGAAAATTTGAGCTCGGGCTTCATTTGATGCCGATAAATTGATAACTGATATCGCACTTTAAAATTTAAAAGGCGTTAAAACCTGTAATTTAACAGCAAAACCATTCGAAACCAAGTGACCCCAGTCCCAAATCGAGGTTAAAATCATGAGAGCACGTTCGACAAACTTTCTTATATTACAGAAGGATGGTCCTTCAAGCTTTCAAGGATCAACAAAACTGGTATTCAGAAGGATCAATAAAACTGGTACTATTTATCACATAATAAAACTGGTACTATTTATCACATAATAAAACTGGTACTATTTATCAGATAATAAAACTGGTACTATTTATCACATAATAAAACTGGTACTATTTATCACATAATAAAACTGGTACTATTTATCACATAATAAAACTGGTACTATTTATCACATAATAAAACTGGTACTATTTATCAGATAATAAAACTGGTACTATTTATAATAAAACTGGTACTATTTATCACATAACAAAACTGGTACTATTTATCACATAATAAAACTGGTACTATTTATCACATAATAAAACTGGTACTATTTATCACATAATAAAACTGGTACTATTTATCACATAATAAAACTGTTACTATTTATCACATAATAAAACTGGTACTATTTATCAGATAATAAAACTGGTACTATTTATCAGATAATAAAACTGGTACTATTTATCAGATAATAAAACTGGTACTATTTATCAGATAATAAAACTGTTACTATTTATCGCAGAATAAAACTGGTACTATTTATCAGATAATAAAACTGGTACTATTTATCAGATAATAAAACTGGTACTATATATATAATAAAACTGGTACTATTTATCACATAATAAAACTGGTACTATTTAACACATAATAAAACTGGTACTATTTATCAGATAATAAAACTGGTACTATTTATAATAAAAGTGGTACTATTTATCAGATAATAAAACTGGTACTATTTATCACATAATAAAACTGGTACTATTTATCAGATAATAAAACAGGTACTATTTATCAGATAATAAAACTGGTGCTATTTATCAGATAATAAAACTGGTACTATTTATCACATAATAAAACTGGTACTATTTATCACATAATAAAACTGGTACTATTTATCAGATAATAAAACTGGTACTATTTATCAGATAATAAAACTGGTACTATTTATAATAAAACTGGTACTATTTATCACATAATAAAACTGGTACTATTTATCACATAATAAAACTGGTACTATTTATCACATAATAAAACTGGTACTATTTATCACATAATAAAACTGGTACTATTTATCACATAATAAAACTGTTACTATTTATCACATAATAAAACTGGTACTATTTATCAGATAATAAAACTGGTACTATTTATCACATAATAAAACTGGTACTATTTATCACATAATAAAACTGGTACTATTTATCACATAATAAAACTGGTACTATTTATCACATAATAAAACTGGTACTATTTATCAGATAATAAAACTGGTACTATTTATAATAAAACTGGTACTATTTATCACATAACAAAACTGGTACTATTTATCACATAATAAAACTGGTACTATTTATCACATAATAAAACTGGTACTATTTATCACATAATAAAACTGGTACTATTTATCACATAATAAAACTGGTACTATTTATCACATAATAAAACTGGTACTATTTATCAGATAATAAAACTGGTACTATTTATCAGATAATAAAACTGGTACTATTTATCAGATAATAAAACTGGTACTATTTATCAGATAATAAAACTGGTACTATTTATCAGATAATAAAACTGGTACTATTTATCAGATAATAAAACTGGTACTATATATATAATAAAACTGGTACTATTTATCACATAATAAAACTGGTACTATTTAACACATAATAAAACTGGTACTATTTATCAGATAATAAAACTGGTACTATTTATAATAAAAGTGGTACTATTTATCAGATAATAAAACTGGTACTATTTATCACATAATAAAACTGGTACTATTTATCAGATAATAAAACAGGTACTATTTATCAGATAATAAAACTGGTACTATTTATCAGATAATAAAACTGGTACTATTTATCAGATAATAAAACTGGTACTATTTATCACATAATAAAACTGGTACTATTTATCACATAATAAAACTGGTACTATTTATCACATAATAAAACTGGTACTATTTATCAGATAATAAAACTGGTACTATTTATAATAAAACTGGTACTATTTATCACATAATAAAACTGGTACTATTTATCACATAATAAAACTGGTACTATTTATCACATAATAAAACTGGTACTATTTATCACATAATAAAACTGGTACTATTTATCACATAATAAAACTGTTACTATTTATCACATAATAAAACTGGTACTATTTATCAGATAATAAAACTGGTACTATTTATCAGATAATAAAACTGGTACTATTTATCAGATAATAAAACTGGTACTATTTATCGCAGAATAAAACTGGTACTATTTATCAGATAATAAAACTGGTACTATTTATCAGATAATAAAACTGGTACTATATATATAATAAAACTGGTACTATTTATCACATAATAAAACTGGTACTATTTAACACATAATAAAACTGGTACTATTTATCAGATAATAAAACTGGTACTATTTATAATAAAAGTGGTACTATTTATCAGATAATAAAACTGGTACTATTTATCACATAATAAAAGTGGTACTATTTATCACATAATAAAACAGGTACTATTTATCAGATAATAAAACTGGTACTATTTATCACATAATAAAACTGGTACTATTTATCACATAATAAAACTGGTACTATTTATCAGATAATAAAACTGGTACTATTTATCACATAATAAAACTGGTACTATTTATCAGATAATAAAACTGGTACTATTTATCAGATAATAAAACTGGTACTATTTATTATAATAAAACTGGTACTATTTATCACATAATAAAAGTGGGTGTACACATTACCTTGTTAACTACCTGGCAAGGGAAACTCTCATCCTCCAGCCCCCCGAGAAGTCCTGAGTTGGTCTCTCCTGCATCTCCCTGGTGAACTGGAGACCTGATAGGATCCTCCTGGCTCGGCCTTCTGCTGCCTCCGCTCCCATCGCTATCAGCTCTTCGTGTACTTCGTTCAAACGGTCAGCTGCGTCGTCGTTACCTGCTTCCATTTCAGCTTCCAGCTTCTTCAACTGACATGGTTTGAGTGTTACATTTCTAGTTGAGGGGAGGTGTCTTAGAGCAGCAGAACCGACTAAAATAGAATGAAGTCCAGTGATTGGAAAACTTTGTTCCCGATACAAGAGACTGTTACTTACTGTTACTGTTATTAACATATTAATATATTAAAGCCATTATTGTAACCTCAGTTTCGAGTTTGACCCTCTTCAAATCTGATCTCAAGACAGCCTGAACAGCAGGTGTTTCGTCAGCCTTTACTTCTTGTTCACACAGCAAAACGTCAATGTTAGCGGGGATAGCTAGGATACGGTGAGCCATGTGTCGTAACAATGTTGTCTTTCCGTGACTGATAAGGTTTTAAAGTTCATTTCATAAGTTGTGTGTAAACTGCAGTCATACATCTTGGAGGTCAAGGTTGGATCACTATAATAGTGCAGAATGTAGATACAGAAAGTAATCTCGAAATAGTTGGCCAACTGCTAAGGTTAAGTGTTCTCTAATCTAACTAACCCGTTAGGTCCCACAATACCGAACAGAAAGTAATCTCGAAATAGTTGGCAAACTGCCAAGGTTAAGTGTTCTCTAATCTAACTAACCCGTTAGGTCCCACAATACCGTATCTTCTTCCAGCTACTATAGAAAGTTCAGCATTAACGAAAAGATCTTTCCCAGCTGCTGATATCGAGAACTTTTCAATCTGAAATATGGCAAAATCAATATCAGCTGTGAAGTGTGAAATGAAATGTCCGAATCTAAATGAGTAATTTCAGAACAGTTTAGACCATTCGAGAAGATGGATCTAGCGGAAATGTGTACCTTGATATCATTACAGTTCTCCGCTAATTTATCAGCTATTTTCTTTTCCTGTTGAGTGGCGCTGAAGGTAGATAAACCTTCGTCAGCTTCATCTTCCAATTGAGCCATCATTTCAGCCTGAGAATTGTGGTTTTAAAAACAATTTTGACAGTGAACGTGCAGTATATTGCGAAAATCGAACTAGAGTGCGCATGACGCAAGGCGCGGAATTACGTTATCGTAAGTGATAAAAAAGTACATTTTGTATCGCTTTAAATCGTTCGCGCGTTCCGTTCAGTTGAATAAAACGTGTACCGTTTTTGACCTTGGCCCACTTACACAATTTTACCTTTCGCTTCGCTTTCTTTTTTTCCTTGTTAGTCATAGCTTTCTTAGGAGCTGCAGCTTCTTCTAAAAACAGTATTTCATCAGTAGATAGATAGAATTTCCATTTAAGGAATTAACAATGCAAAAGCAAGATATTAATTTTTTGCTGATAAATGTAGTAGAGCACATTGTGTTTGATAAATTGTCTAACCTTCGATTTCCTCGATGCCATCTTTTACGTTCTCCAAATCTAATTGGTCATCTTCATCATCTTGTTTGTTCCTTGCAGCGTTACGACCTTTCTTTTTAGGCATGCTATGAAAGGCAGCTGTTTTATAGTTTTACCATCCAAACGTAGCTTACACTAATAATTATATATTGGCATTGCAATTGATGACAATTTGCATCATTATTTGTGTTCAGGTTTCCTTGGTTAACCTCCTCTCGATTTAAAATTATTTACTTGCCATAATTTCAGGATTCAACTGATCAATAAAACAACGGATTAACTTTTTGAAATAAATAAAAAGCAGGAAACAGATAAGAAATTAAGCAGAGTTAGAGTTGGGTCCCTTCTTCCGTCCGAACTGACTAACAGCAGTGCTGAACCTCCTGTTGTACTGGATTCTCCTCTTGCACCTTCCTGTCCTCTTCTTCTTCTTGTCTTCCATCGCAGCCACTTTAGGGGTCTGTCCCTTAACTTTACCAGCACGAGCTAGAGAACCGTGCACTTTACCTCCCAGAAGTTTACCTGAAGTCGGAGTGTTTTGTTAGTGTACTGGGGGTGGGGTGTGTTGTTAGTGGGGGGTGGGGGGGGGTCGTTATAGTATCTCTTATAAAACATGGCAAATAACCCTAAAACTCTGTAACTGGCCCTTGTTTATCAGTAAACTGTTATCTCCAAATAAATAACTATGAACTGACCTGAAGCTACGATGGTAGCAAGATTGGGGAGAGCATCATTCAACATAACATCATCCTCGAGTGGGACTCCTGCGTAGTGGAAGCACAGATCCTGGGGAGGTAGCACACGTCATGTTACCATAGTAACACTACTAGTTACCATAGTAACACTACTAGTTACCATAGTAACACTACTAGTTACCATAGTAACACTACTAGTTACCATAGTAACACTACTAGTTACACGTCATGTCGTGGTAATAATATGAAATAAGCTTGAAACTACTGCTATATGATTTAGCTTGCTGTATACAATTAAGATTTAAGCAAACTTAAAGAGAAACTGAAATATAGCATTCCCAACCTGACCCCCAACATTCCGCTCACCTCATAAGCGACCTGCTCGATATTACAGATTCTCTCCTTAATCTCCTCTACTGTAGTGTCTGAGTTTACGCTAACTGCGTGGGTTGAAGTGCCCTGTACGAATATCTGCATCTTGTATCTTAGCTACCAAGATGTATCAAGGTTAACGAATAGTTGTTATCTTGTGTCTTAGCTACCAAGATGTATCAAGGTTAATGAATAGTTGTTATCTTGTATCTTAGCTACCAAGATGTATCAAGGTTAATGAATAGTTATTTTAAACGATCGGTCAATTTACAGTGTTTATATAGTTTAACCATTACAGTTGTATTTATGCTTTTCAAACAAAGTTAGTACAACGAATTCTTCATGTAGTGCATCCTGGGTATATATTTTTTATGGTAGAAAAAAATGTTTAATCAACAAGCGAGAATACAAATATCGGGATAATGAGCAGCACGAAATGTTCAGCATTACCCCCCCCCCCCCCCCCCCCCCCCCCCAGGCCCAGGGCATGCTAAAGAGCATTACCCCCCCCCCCCCCCCCCCCCAGAGCATTACATAATGACACATCAGCGTTCAGCAACATGCATTTATCATCCAGCATTATAAGAATTCATGGCATAGTCAATATGATTCATACAATATAAAAATCAATAAATTATTCAATCACTACAAAAACAAATTCGAAAACTTAAAAAACATTATTGTAATTCATTTCTGTAGAATCCCAGCCCGGCCCCCAATCTAAAATACTTTTGGCAATAAATATTGTCAGAAATATTTATAAATTAAATTGTGATGATTCATAAAACGTATAGTTATTAGTTATACAAGCACCCATTTCAATCACAAGTTAAGAGACTCATTCTCCACATAGCATACATTTAACCAGCTAAAGCATTCAAATTACAAATATGTCATGCGCATTTAAAGTTAAGTTAGGTAAACTATTGAGTATTTCCAGCAATGGAATTTCAGTTTAGGTTAGTCTGATTTAGAAATTATTTTAAGTAAAAAACAAGATTTTTATTTTTGTTGTGAAAATAAGAAAAGACGAAAGAGGTTTTAAGTAAAAGAAGACTATTTTAAATTATGATAACATTGATGAAAATTAATTCTTAAAACGAATATTGGAAACCAGTCATACAACAGCATTTAAATATTATAAAACATTTAAAAGTGTAACCTTGGTCACATGTCAAGTTACAGCTTTTTAAAAATTATCTGAAGCTTTTGTTGATCTGGAATTTTAAAATATATACATAACACATGAACAGCACTAGAACTAATGTAAAGATATACATAATACATCCAATATCAGTCTATCTTCATTTAACCTTTAACCTATACTTCTCCTCTACTTAAAAGCAGCCATCTTGTTATTAAGAATCCAGGATCTTGTAGAGTTAGGATCAGTGAAGTACTTGTTCATGGTGGGAAGATCCCGTATTCTCTGCATGAAGTTCTTCAGGTTTTCATCCTCAATAATGGTCGGTTCCAGCACAGTGTACTTGTCGATTGTTTCAAACACAAGGAAATCTGTTCCTGTGATGTAGTCACCTGGAATTGTTATCAGTTGAGATGTAATGGATACTTTCATGTAAAGTAATGGATACTTTTATGTTAAGTAATGGATACTTTTATGTAAAGTAATGGATACTTTCATGTAAAGTAATGGATATTTTCATGTAAAGTAATGGATATTTTCATGTAAAGTAATGGATATTTTCATGTAAAGTAATGGATATTTTCATGTAAAGTAATGGATATTTTCATGTAAAGTAATGGATATTTTCATGTAAAGTAATGGATACTTTCATGTCTGTGCACTTGGAAAGTTCCATAAATATTGCCTATGGTATAAAGCAAATTAGATGCCATGGTTTCAACCTGAATTTAAACTGAACCATAGCTAACTTACCAGCGAAATATTTCTTGGATCCAAGGAATGTAGCAAACTGTTTGATCATAGCTCCAGCACTAGTCACTAAACCAGCCCTCCCTGCTTCAAATTTATCTTTAGGTTGGTAAAACAGTCTTACTCCCAGCATGGTCAAATCAATAGCTGAAATAGGAACAAGTTAAGATATAGTGATAAGATATGGTGGTACGGTTGATAATATATTTTGTAGACCAATTGCCAGTTTAGTAATTAGAGCAGCGAATACATGGGGACCTTATTGAAGCTTTTAAGGTAACTAGTGGTTTGACTGAATATGGATATAGGGTTTATTCACAATGAGCAGATCTGGTCTTAATCTAGTTTCAACCAATAGGTGTAGTAAGAGTGTAACTAAAGTTAAGAATCTCCAGTCTTCTTTTCTTCCGGAGCGAGTCATTCCTTACTGGAACAAACTCCCTTCAGATGTCAAGAACTGCTCGACAGTTTTAAAGTTAGATTGGAAGGATTTAAGAAAGAAATTATTTCTAAAAACAGTGTAAATGATTTTTATTTTTGGAATGTTTCGAATGAAGTGTTAGGGAAAATTGAAGGACCCAGTTATTTAAGCAATAAGGAGACACATAATGAATATCTTTGGTTTCATCCTTTTGTGGCAAAGAAGCGTTTTATAAATCTTTATTCCACTGGGAAGTATTAATGAATTATTTATAGATAATGTATTAGATTTTATTAATCAATAAAATTGAATTTGATAAATTATTATATTAATGTTGATGGAAAAATATATTTATTTAAATTATTTTTTTATTTAGTGCAATGATATTTTGTAGACACTTGTGATGATGTTATGTCATAATCTTTACTTACTTACTTACTTACTTAGATCAATTGTAATTAGAATTTGCAAGGTAAAATATGAGATAAAAAGTTTGTTAATCGTTAACGAATGTAAACTTGTGAGAGAAACAGGCAACTAGGAAAACTTACCAACATGATCCAACATGTCACACTGTGCATGAACTGCAAAGTCTTTGGGTGCAAGTCCGTACTTGTTGGAAAGATAGCTGGGAATTAGAACATTATTTTATTTTATGTTATATTGAAACTTATTTCATTGAGTTTTAAAAGATCTGATCGGAGATATATTTGAGAAATAAATAAAAAATAACTTAAATAATAATAATAATAAATAAAACATTTATAAACCGCCTTATAGCTAAATCATATAACTCGATATAATTTAATCCTGGAGATAAACTCCAGTGCTTTCTAAAGCGGCTCTTACATTAACTGAAAAAAAAAATAACTTACTGCAAAATTGCGATAGTTTGAGTGAGCTTAACATCACCATCCATAAGATAAGGGAGATTGGGGAACTCTAGTCCAAGAGTGAACTTGACATCAGTCCAGGACGATCTGTCAAAGCCAGGAGCATCTCCACACTCGTATGCTACCTCCTCATAATCTGCTTCCACATAACTGAAACGTGTTTCCTTTATTTTATAGGGTTTTGAGGACAAGCGAAGTTTTAAACGCGTATTTCAAGAGTAAGTTATTAAGATCGAGAATCAATATTTCCCCCAATCAGACAGCGAATGGGTGTCTTTTCAATTAAATGTTGGAAATATTGGTAGAATATATTCTTATAAGTTATAAGACACCATATAAATAAATAAATAAATAAATAAAGTCAATTTTTACAGCACAGCAATATATATCTAAATATCAGATCCTCTGTAATCATAATGTATAAAAAAGGAGCTTTTCTCTGTGCTGAAGGATGAATCAAGGCAGATCATGGTTCTGTTAGCAGGCCACCCTAGTTATGGACAATACATATATATAAAATAATTAAATTATAATTTTAAAATTGTGTCAAGATATAAAATTTACTTACGCAAGTAGAGCTCGGATTGGTTCTGCAAGTCCTCTAATTTTCCAGTAACCCAGCTTCATTGTACAAGCTATCTACAGACAAGATTATGTTTTTGGAAATAACTTTTAGTGAATTAAGTTTTAAACACTGTAGTTCCATGTACAATGTTAACCAAACGGTTTCGAACAGAGGGATTGAGGGAAAATAAGATAGATCAGGAACTGCCCCTAGTTTGGGGCTGACTTATGCTTTGCAAGGGGAAAGAGCCTCAAACAGTGAGCACTCGATAAAGTAACTGTGAAAATAATGATATAATATGCCGCATCTGGTGGATGACCGTGGCATTTTTGTGGACCCGGATATTTTCATAATACCTTAAGGGAACCAAGGAATGTCAAACAATAAATTAAATCGAGTGATGCAATTGGCAGAGCACAATCGTAAATCCTGAGCAATAAATATCATCTATTCCTCGTAGCTCATCTTCTCAGGTATCAGGTTGAAGGAGACATTGAATATGCCTTCTTTTCATGATACCTAATTGAGCTGGACTGATATAGATTGAATTCAATTACTAGATACCTGGAAAATTACCATTCCTTGCACTGGAACTGCTATATTATTCAATCAATATACACATAATATAACAATAACCCTATATATATGGGTCCTCTCTTCGTCCGGTTTGTGTGTTTGTCGCCTGTCTGGACTCTCGTAGTCATGTAATTTTTAATTTCTAATTTGTTATTTTAATTTTAATTTTAATTTTTCAATTTTCTAAATGTGTGTTCTGCTCCGGGACTCGATTACCGTTTCGGCTTTCTTGAGACTGTAAATTTGGAAAGCCAACTATGCGGGGCGCCTGCCCACCGGCACTGAAGAGTGATCAAAGAATTAACTAAAATTTCCTAATATAACGATTGAATATAGAGTTGTTTAACCGGCGCGGCCATGGGTGTGTGGCCTAGCTTTGGCTGCACACCTATGACTGCGCTGTTGCTGGTGGACAGGTGCAGTTTTTGTTGTGCAGTAGTGTTGCAAGAGAATAAAACCAACTTATTATGTACTAAATGGAATCAAGAATATTATTGACTATATTTGATAACGATGAATTGTAAATTTCGATCAATTTATATTTTTCGGTCTCCAATTATTGAACTGCGGAAGCTGGTTGCCTCAACAATGTTGACTATGCATGGTATGACTGAATTGTAAACACGTGATAATTGAACGAAAAATAAATGATGAACATGATTCAAAAACTGTAAACCACCAAATGAATTATCGCTTAAATTTAAATAAGTATTTAAACAAAAACCATCATGTGCCGTTAACAGTTAAGCAGCAGGGCGCGGCTCATCTGGGCCACAGAAAATCGGCGAAAATGGGTTCGAAAAAGCCACTATTGGCACTCGAGTCCTTGATCTTTCCGATGGTTCACTGGGGCTTTTGAGCTGCCGTCCTTCAGCTTCTGTAAACTGAAATTACTACCAATCCAAGTTGAGGCAATCAGCCAACGCGCGGCTTTTATGGTTATATATGATATGTTTAATCTGTAATAAAGATCAAAATTAAAATTTGTTTCTCTAAAAATTTGTTTCTCTATACAAATTCTATTTAAAAATTCAATAAAAAATTGCTATATTGAAGAAACAGAGCAATCCTTCTAGTTCTAACACAATAGTCGACTGACGGATGATAAAGAGGGAGCTGTATCATATAATAATAAATCCTCTTGACAATGGTCATTGATAAATCAAATCAAAACGTAAGTCGTAATGACAAAGAGAATCATCAAAAATGTTCATAAAAATGTCTTATTAAATCTAAATTATAACTGAACGTAGCTAATTTTTGAGGATTTAACTTACTACTAATAGCATGTGGGGAGCAGTTAATAAACCTATATCTATTGTCCCATATTTAATGTAACATGTACTAGTAATCCCTGGGGAATGAGAAAAACGAAAGAATTCACCAAAAAGATAGGAATTTTAACAATGTATACGAACAGTTTTAGCAGCGATCATTGCCCAGCTTGAACACTAAAATGTTGATACTAACCAATTCAACAAATATATTTAAATCATAATCATACTTTTTGGTCGTGGAATATGGTGAATGAAAAATAGTAGCGCTCGATTTTTCATCAATTTTATAGCGTGCGCGGCGTCAAACATGGTTTTATTTGTTATTGTTGCAATAATTTGTTTCCACTTTTGAAGTTATAATCAATATAAAAGCAAAATTTTAACGGCTTAGTGGCTCAGTTGGTTAATCTGCCTGGCATTGCTTGAGGTACCAGGTTCGATTCCCGACTCTGTCACTAGCCGCGGGGTGAGCGTCGTCGACGCTCAGCTATGGATCCTGAGTGGTCTATGCAGCCCCCCGGTCCACTCAGCCAAATACTCGAGAAATCGGGTGTGAGGATTAAATGAGGAGCTGCCCATTGCAGCAAAGTCTCGGACGAAGAAAGTATGGTACACACTACCTTAACCGTCACTGGCCTAATGTATAATTATATCCTTCGGCTTCCTGTAATTGGCTGGTTACACATTTGTGTAACAATGTGGCTGTTGGAATGTCCGAAGTAAAATAAGTGTTGAGATATAAAAAAAGAAAGATTTAAAATTAAAAATATTGATAAATATCAAATGCTTAATTTAGTAAATAAATTTAATGACTTTAAAGTTTATTTGCTCTAACCAGAGCCCTCTCGCTTGCAGTAGCGTGCGACCGCCGGAGGCGGTCGCTTTTGAAACAAGCGCGTCACGCAGTACGCGTAGGCACATGGCTATGTGAAAAAGTTTATTGTACCATGGAAATATTAATTCACGATGTCAATCCTTCGCAGCTCGGTGAGGCACAGTGGTGCATTTCGCCGATCTACCGAAGATAGAGTTGCGAGAAGAATTATTAATTATTTGATGCGCGGCGCGACCCAGTAGTGCATCGCGCTACAATGAAAATATTATAATGTGTTCTCATCAAAAATTCGGTCATTCATGTAATATTTTGATTACATGACTCGCCGATCCCTGTGAGCGGTGCTTTTTTCAAACTTCCTGAACAGTGAGCTGAGAGAAGCAAATCGAGTAAAAAAGCAAGCTTAAGAAAAAAGACAAAATTTTTATTTACCACAAAACAATTAATACAAAATGTTTTGCTTCACGTTTGACGTTGTATACCTCTCGGCCGGCGACGCGCGCGTTCAAAAGGGGTTACAGCTTGTCATACGTTGTACGACCCGCCGCGCACGAAGTGCGCGGCTCCCCCTGTATCGTCAGGACGATAATAGTGAAACGACCGTGGGGGTCGCAACGTGATACAAGTTACAGCGTGTGTCAAATAATGTTATATTCATAAACAAATTCAAGTTTCAATTTCAATTTTAACCATATATACAGTACTCCGCGCACACACGGAGTTACATGTAACATTTTGCTCTATCCAGAGCTCTTGCGCTTGTTACTGGCATGGGCCGCGATCAGCCTGTCCTTCCGCCGACCTATATTGATTATAATATATGTTTATGGACCTGATAGTTTGACTCACGATGTCAATCCTTCGCAGCTCGGTGAGGCACAGTGGTGCATTTTGCCGATCTACCGAAGCGAGAAGCATTATTTGATGCGCGCGCGACCCAGTAGTGCATCGCGCTCCAACCTGATAGTCTGATGTCCCCAGGTAAACGTAACATGTAAAATTTATTAAACGCAAACTTTTAATTCGATTTGCTAAACACATGTACAGTATTTATTCTAAATGCTTATAGGGCATACTGAGCCAGAACTTTGCCACTTACCGACTGCAGCAATATGCAATGTTGACCTTCATAACCAATAACCTGATAAAAATGTTTATGATTTCAGTTCTAGATCGTAAATGTGCAAAAATGTTTTGTGGTTGTTTGGTGAAACCTTGACGGATGTTACTCGTCTAAATTTCTTCGAAGTTGGAAGTAGCGCGCGCCCGATGACAAGTGCTACGATATATATATATATATAACTCTAAAACTCTGGTCACAAGAGCAACTGCCTAAACGTGCAGAAGTGAAAACAAATAAATAAAATACTAGCAATCCTTTAAATTCGCAATAAATAAGTTCGTTCAATGTCATTATATAATTCTAAAACCACATATATGTGACCAGTAAATAATTTAATTGGTCTATAGACTACTGTATAAAATTCTCAATATAAACTTTTAAACAATAATAAATTAATTAAAAAACACACAACAACCTTTGGTGTGTAAGAATGATTAAACAGCCTCATTTTGACACAAAATATCTTCATAATATTATAGTATATGCTATAATATTAGAACTGTTAAGTTGAGTTCAGGTAACAGAATTTAACTGTAATAGAACCTCTGCTGTGTTATCCACTGTTGAGATGTAGCCATATTTTCGTCCGGTCTAACATTGACCCCGGCTCATGAAATATATGCTTCGTCCGGTCTAACATTGAACCCGGCTCACTAATCATAGGGATGGTGTAGTTATGGTAGTTGGAATATAATCAACTGTTTAAAGTTTTATCTCTATTCGAAGGAATTCTTCTGCATCCTTTGTTATTTCCAGTGCTAGATCAAAGAACTCACGAAGTCTGCTCCATGATATCAACATTGAGTTCCCACCATAGCCTTGGTTTTTGATGTTGTGGAAAGGGTGTCTTTCAAGAAGCTCACTCATTTTGTTCCTTTTATCTGCTTGTACATCAGGACAGTCGGTAAGCAGGTGAAGTGAATTTTGAGCCCCTCGCCTACAATCACACAGTGGAGAATCAAATTTACTGCTTTTGAAGCGGTGAAGAAATTCATTCATTATGTTGTTCGGATAGAACAAGCTTAGAAACAAGGTTTCAAGTTGCCTTGATGTTTTGGGCGGAAACTTGAGCTTTGTGGCGCTCACTGTAGGTGCCTCTGTATACCCTTCCAGCTGGTACTGGCTGTTTATGGACGATTGCCAAAGCTGTTCACTGTAATGTTTCATCACTGATTTACTGTAGCTGCATCCTTTTATTGATAGACTGGTGAGTTTTTCTAGATCATGGTTATTTATGATTTTTAGATCCTCATTAGTGAAGTGTTCAGGAAGTATCGAAGATTT